GAGGAAACATTAGCAGCTAAAATTTAATTATTTCAACTAGATTGTTAAAATTCTATAAAGAAGGCATAGTAATGTGTACCAGATAAAAAAAGTAATTTGTTTGCTTTGTTTTTTTTAAGATCTGTTGATATTTGTTTTGTTAAAAACATTCTAATACAGATGGCTTGGCCACTCCCCCATAACACAACATATTTATGTTGCCAGTATTCCAGTATTGTATACCCCTGGGAGAGCATGAAGTTATTTTTTTGTAAGTATTTTGAAGTATTTCAGAGTAGCTAGATGCAGTTACATATGGCTTGGTGGTTATGGGATGTGTGTGCCCCCATCCCACACCATTTAACTTCCCATTTCCCTGGTTTTCACAGCTCTGTGACCTATGAAAGCAGCAGTGCAGGAGCAGCAAATTTAACACAGCAATGTTAAGTTTCCTGGGTTGGGCTCCTCAAGCTCTAAGTTTTTTATTTGTACCTTTATGGAGGTGAAAACCAGCAGTAAATACAAGCACTAAAATTCTTATCATACTGAAGCAATGGAGAGTTCTGCCTCTCAGGCTGAAGCAGAGGTAAGAATCCTTACAGGCAATTCATTTTTGGAGCACAACCATTTTCAAGCACAAGCTTTGTCTAGGAATAGCAGAAATGTGATCTTGCCATGAGCTTTGGATTTCTTTCTAGTTTTGGCTTTAATTGGTCAGCCTGGGAGACAAGAACTTTAACTCAAATGGCATACTTGTCTAGAAATAGTCACAGGTATATTCATATGAGCTTTTGACAATTCTCATATTTTTTAAGATTTGCTTTATTATTATTACTGTTATTTTTGAAGATTTTATGCTTCAGGACTTAGATACTTTGCATTAAAATGTTATTTATGATCCTTCCTGCACATATGTAATAGCCATCCATAATGCCAAGTCACGATTACATGCTCTATTTTTTATCCAGTGACTAAAGTAAAAGGATTATTCATCAGAGAGGATAAAAATTTGAGGTAGAAGTGATAACATTTGCACTTAAAACTGGAGTTCTAGGACACGATTTTTCATGCTCCAATTTAAAAGCACCTCAAAGTTGTTTTCATCAGTTAAAACTTCACTTGCATCACACTTACAACACGTCTCTGTCCATCTCAGATCCACCTCACAAATTACAACATGCATTGACGGTTTTCTTTATTGAATCATCACCACCAGCTTGTTTGTCAATTGTATGGAAAATTAGCTGAGTTAAAGTTTACACCAAATTTTTGCTGTGTCCCTTTGTTTTCTTGCACAGAACATTTTTCCAAATTTAAATATTTAGTACTGCATCAGATTTATGTTTTCAATGGCTTTTCT